TTTTTTTTTTTTTTTTTTTAAATAACAAACCCACAAAATATTTGGGAAAATAAACAGCTTGATGTGTAGCATCTGCAGCCACTTGGCAAATGAGTTTGAAGTAATATGTTGCTATAATAAACAAACATTTACTGTTGTTAAATTGTACTCAAATTTTTAAAATTCATCAAACAACTGCAAAGAAGGCTATGAATCATTCTAATAAGTGCCTCCTAAAAGTGTATGTTACTTATTTCCAGAACCTTGAAAGAAATGAGTACTACTACTACTACTACTACTACTACTACTACTACTACAAAAACTCTTTTTCCCTCCTTGATAACCAGATAAAAATCAGTTTAATTACAGCCAAAAGAATGTTGCTTCAGGATTGTATGTTCACTTACAGCACTTAACCCCAAATTTAATTTTATTTTTATAATGCATCTAAAAGTTCTGTATAATTTATTTTTTAAATGTTGAAAAATGAGTACAAAATTAATTAAACTAATCACTGAAATAGTCAGACTGGAAGTGCTAGTGCTTTTTTCTAAGCATTAGTCCCAAGCCTGATCCTCCCTGAGCACTGGGGAGTCTCACTGGGATAGCTAAATGCTCCTCTGCCAGTTCTTCACTCAGCTGAGACATCCTTGGCCACCACTGAAAGCTGTGCCTGGATGGAGGGCTTGGAGAGAGGGACCCAGTGATGAGCATGCATGTGGGAGAGGATGGCGGGATCAGGCTTACATTAAGAAGGCAAGATCTGGAGGAAAACACTCTCCAGAATGAGCTCAACCCTATAAAGATATTATTAAAGTAATAGCAGAATAACAACTCAAGTGAGGAGTTCTACTGATCTGAAATATTGCATAGGGAGGGGTTTTAATTTTTGTCTGTCAAGCAGCTCTGATTTGGAATTAAAAAAAAAAAAAAAGTGCAGTTTGCTACATGACCTTGATTCCATACCATTAAAGTAAACAGGAGGTTGCCCAGCTACTTTAGTGAGCAAGCTAACAGTAATTTCCAAGAAAACATATGCATGTGTACTGTTAAAATGAGTTTTTGATAAATCATACTTTTTTTCAGGGAAAATGGAAATAAGCAAAATATAATTTATTAAGGTGTTTAAAGTAAATGATTTCAGTACAATTTATTCATTACTATTTTGAATTTACTTTAGATGTTTCCTGAGATTGTATCAGACACTTTAACACATGAACTTAAAATCTTTAGTTCATTGATATCTCTAAAATATACTTTAATGCTTTAAACTTTGTGTAAAATAAAACAAAGTTAGCAAAAAATGGGAATTGGCAGTGAATAATTTTAAAACAGATAAACTCAGAAGCCTTGTGGATGCTGATCTGAATACATTTCTTAGTTTACAATAGTGATCTTTCTTTTTTTAATTTTATTTAAGCTAAAAGTCTGAATGGTCTGGGCAGTGGTGAATGTTCATTTGTATCCTTTTATTGTAGTTGAACACCAATTAGATTGTGAAGAGTCTCAGAAACAAAACAGAACAAAAACCAGTCAAGATCTATGTCTTGCTTTTAGTGGATTGTTAAGAATAACTTTGCACATATACCCCACTTTTAAGACACCATCAAATCTCTTTTTTGGTGGTCAAAGTGGCTATTTAATATATTTTAAAGGTGTCCTTTTTGGCTGTATAAATGTGTGGTTACATATTGACAGTTCACTGCCCACATTAAAGTGCATTATTGTAATTTTTGCTCAGGGTTTTTAGAAAATTAGCACAGAAAAGTAGCTTATTTTTAAAAAAAGATGATGGAAGAGATGTTAACACTGTAATAGAAGAAAGGTGTGTTTGCCATTATATATTTAGCAAGTATGGTTATCATCTTCTACGGATATTAAATCTTGACTTTTCCTATTTCTATTACCTTATGGGCATTTACCACTAACCAGACCAAACGACCTTGGTAAGGCTGAGATCTTTATTAATACACTTTTACAGGTAAAAATATTGATACTTATAAATTTTGTTCTTTGACAGAACAATATATGGTATTAGAGATCTACTTTATTAAGTAGACTAATTAAAACTCAGTTCTACTATGTGCCTTATGATATACCTTGGGAGTAAGTTTGTGAAAAATCAGGATATATGTGTTGTTTGTTAAATTAACTGTTTTAAGCCCTTTTGACACCTCACTAGTTTTGTACTGTTTTACCTCTTATTTCTGAAACTCTTTTTATGGTGTATCCTGTTAGAGGGGACAAACATGTCATAGAAAGCAGTTGTGCACTCTTTCAGATATAGTTGATAAATCCAATAATCTTATATATTGAGCTTCGTGTTTATAGTACAGTAAGTGGTCTAGCAAAATTGTCCATGTTTCTTTGTTTATTGATAAATGCATTGTATAGAAACTATTTCCCCTAAATATTTATGGACCAAACAATTGTGATATATCCTATTAAATTTGTGTGAATAAACCATTTTGAATCTAAGGAGTTTTATTTCCCATCAGGTTTTTTTTTTGTTTGTTTGTTTTGTTTTTTTTTCCTCTTTAATTTAAAGCCTACATGTACCAGTGCGTCTCTTTGCTTTTACGGTACCTGTGAACAACTGGTAGTAAACACGGAAACACGGCCTTTAAAGTATTTTAAAATATGGTTCCTTCTTAGGTTTGCAATTTCTTCATATTCAATGTATATGCTACTGCTGGTGCAATTTAGATTTTAGCCTTTTAGCCTCCTTTTTTGAACATGCAAAGTAATGCCCCACTGATTTGATATTGAAACCCTGTCTTAGACTTCTAAAAAAGCCAGAAAACTATCAGCTAAAGTAATTGCATGACAAATATAACCTAAATACTATGATGAAATGAATCAAGATTTAATGCTAGGTATATTGAACACAAAATAGAATTGCAGACCCCGAAAAACCAGGTTGCTCTGTAGTTTAATAAATTGTCACTATGATTTCTTTCAGGGAGAACAAATCATGGGGCATTACAGCCAAACATCCCGACGTTTGAAAATTCCCTAAAGTATTAAAAGAAGGGGAAAAGTTTGATCGGAAATCCACTGCAGTGAAGACAAAGACAATATTAGGTTATGATAATCATACATTTAAAAATCTATTGAGCCAAAAAATAAAAATAAAAGACTCGATGTCATTTCCTGAATGTTAACAAAACATATGTTATTTTATGGTGTCTAATTAACAGAACTGAAGGCTTCAACAAATTGTGTGGTATTAAAAACAAATTTAGAGAAGCTATGTATAAAACCAGAGCAACCTGGCAGCAATCTACCCAGCCCATATTCGAAGAAAACTTTTCTTTAAAAAAAAAAAAAAATCACATTTGTCAAGCACAAGTACTTGTAAAATAAAATCTGAGTGCATTCATTCCACTTGCTTGCTAATGTGTACTAGTCATATCTGTTAAATGGATTTTTGTAAATTCAAAGAGAACTTTTCACTCATTTGAGATCATAGGAATCAAAACCCAGTAACTTTAGTACTCTTGTTTCTGATTTTTTTTTTTTTTTAAATGAGACAAATCTGCATGCACTTTTCCATCTGTCACATATAGTGTACATTTCTGTATGATGAATTTCTCTTTGATGTTTCTTGTATAATAGCTTTCATTAATAAACATTTTATTTGATGCAAACATAGTTAACTTTATGTAAACACATAGCTAATTGTTCCAACTAATTTAAACTTTTATTTTGAAAAGAAGCAGTACAGTGCAGTTCCAATATGTTATATATATCCAAAAGCAAAAAGAATGAGGTAGCAATATTGTTGCACAGTGTAAAACTATTTCTTTTGGTGTTAACTTTTTAATTTTTTAACTTCTTGTATAAAACTGACATGTTTTAAAAAGAATTCCCATCAGCACCAACAATAAAACAATCCCCAGATTCTTCATCAATATAAGAAAACATAAGCAGTACAGTATGTCAAATCCTCAATGACTTTT